CGGCGAACGAGTTGTAGGGTGCTTCAGCGTAGCTTGCTCGTACCTACCGTAGTGTATTCCAAAGTGAATGCGTTATTTATTAAATAAAATCGGTACTCAATCAATTTAAATTTAAATTGGCCACATAAATCGCGTCCTGTCACATGAAGTCACACAGTCTGGAATCACGCAGACACCGCTGCACGCAGACACCACAGCATGAGTCCTATCCACCCACTTGTCCCCACCAACATCTTCCTACATGCCGTCGAAGCATAGTTACACAGGGGTTGCTTATCCGTCTCGCCCACAAACCGCGCCCAACGACGGGCATTTCGCCTGTTCCGTTGGACTCTACACACACGCAGGTTTCACAGACCTCGAAACCCACGACAGTGACCGCCGCCGCAAATGGCTCTTTTTGAAGCATCCCGTCAAGCCCGCCGTCTGCAGTAGCATGTGCGCGATCATCACATAGGCTCCAGACTGCTGCTAACTAGTCTCCGTTGCGCAGGGTCTCCTTGACAAGCTACCTGCATGAGCTGAACGACCCTAATTTCCAGCCCCAACACCTTGCCGACTCCGGAAAGATGGTAGTGTACACCACTGCGCTTGAGCTCGCGCACGCGATCTACAAGTGGTGCTACACGCACCACAGTCACCAAACCAGCCCCGTCCAAAAGCAAAACATTATTATAACCAAGCCCCCCGTCGCCCTGGACGACCTGCTGTTTTACGACGCCACAGGTCTACACGAGCGGCTCAAATTGTCGCCAACGCACCCCCGAACTGGCCCCCTCTTCAACAAGGAAAAGCCTGGGCACCGCCGCGCCGACGAAAATGGGGCCCGCGCCGTCGCTCACGCCATCAACCAGGTCAAGCGCGCCCGTGTAGAGTCGAATGTGGCACCCGCAGCATCCCAGAAGCGCGCACGCAACGAGACCGCCCCTCGGGGGGGTCTCGTCCTCTTCGACAGCTCGGACAATGACGCGCGCCTGCAAAACATCATTACCTACAAGGAAGCACCCGCCGCCAAGTCCGCGCCTTCTGCGCCCACCGGCACCATGGCCTCTGCGCCCACCGGCACCGTGCTGGTCTCTGCGCCCACCGGCACCGCGCTCTCTGCGCCCACCGGCACCGCACCCTCTGCGCCCACCAGCACCGTACCCTCTGCGCCCACCGACACCGTGGCCTCTCCCACCGGCACCGCGGCCTCTGCGCCCACCGGCACCGCACTCTCTGCGCCCATCGGCACCGCGCGCGCCGCCAATTCCGCGCCCTCTGAACCCACCGGCACCAGCACCGCAGCCTTTGTGCCCACCGGCACCGCGCTCTCTGCCACCAAGTCCGCGGTTACTGCGCCCGCCTGCACTGCGCCTACCGCCGCCGCGTCCGCACCAGAGGGGGCTGCTCCTGCGGCTACTCCTCAGGTTGACCCTGCATCGGAGGAGGACGGCCCCTACTTCTACCTCTCGGATGGTCGAATCTTTCTTGACCCGTAGGTTTTTCGTTTGTGTTTTGCACGACACTTTACTGATTTAAATTCTGTTTCGTCTTTCTTCGGACACCCAGGGCGAGCGCAGGGAGGGCATTGCGGGAACGTGCGGCGGGTATGAGGTTGGTAGACACACTCAGCGAAGTGCAGGAGTTGCGTAGGGCGGCGCGCAAGGCGGCGGCGAGCCACTGATTACATTTGGAGTACATTGCAAATTCTTTTTTACTTACTAATGATCGATCTGTCCTTGCTTAGCAGTTGACGCAGTGCCCATGCGATGTACAGTATTTAGAATAATCAATCGAAACGCGATGTGTACAAAAGTCGATGGATAAGGCTGAACAAGACCTTCTAGCCAACTGCTGGCTTGCTTTCTTGGCGACGGCCCATTCGATTCAAGTCGTAACCTCACTCGCCTCTCTAGCGGGACTGTGCCTGGGCATTCGTGTGGTAACGATCACTTCACTTCAGCAGGCATGGTGAAACTCCGACGGCGTTCTGAGAAAGGCATATCCATTGGTTCGATACAATATACATGCAGCGAAGTGATAAATTACAGGTGAGAGCAGTTGCAGAGCGGGAGATACGGGTTGACATTAGATGAAGCAAGAGGCTGGGGCGGCGTTCGGGGCGATTCGTTGGTAATTGCGGTGGCTTGGTCGATTCTCGCGAATCTGGCGGCGCTTAAGATACTCCTCGAGTGTTAGAGGAGAATCTCTATAAAGATTGTGAGGGTTTGGGTAAGACGGGGAGCCGAATGATATTACCGCTAGCGGCGGGCTCGTTCCTTTTGAAGCAGGAGAACCCTGTGTCTGAGAATGTCAGAAAGAGATGCACAGGACACTGTGCGAACAGCGACATACTGTTCGCGATACCTGGCTCGTGATGCCCGAGCCCGATTCCTAAGTTCCTCCTGAACGTGAGGGGCCATCGCCTTGATGGCAGCACGGTGCCTTTGCGCATTCAGGTCCAAGGTCCAATGACTTTGGTTAGATGAGCTCACTTTGCCATACGTTCACGCGCTCGGAGCCGCTTGAGCTCGGCGGCTGACGTACTTGCGGCTCTGGAACTTTGGGCCGTCAGCATAGGAAGGGGGACTAACGACACTATTTGCTCACCTCTCGTCAGGGGCAGCTTCCCTACCAGTGGAGAATGACATCGTCAGATACTGGCAGAAGGTTGGTGGCAAGAAACTAAATTGACGGCACCGGTGGGTAACGTGGCGAGTTTGCCGTCACATCGCTCCGACGACTACCAACCGACGACGGCGGTCAACAAATAGGGGTCAAAAGATCCATTGCACGATGTGTGGGGTACAGAAAAGAGAGGCAACACTGGCATCAATCACCACTCAGTCCATACTCAAGGGTTCCGGCTCGACGTGGCGAAATATGAACTCGACGTCTTCATCCGCTAGGGTGTGTCCCGCGGCAGGGCGGCATTCGAGGAGGCGTTCGTAGCCCGCGACCGCATCCGCGTCTTCTGGGTCGACGACAAGCCAGAGCATGTAGTTGTTCACGTATTCACGGAACACCGCAAAAGTTTTCCTGGAGCACGTCAGTATATGGAACGGACGGGCGAGGCGAACGCGGAACACCCACGAAGCACGCAGCTCTGCGGAAGTCAAAGCCTTCAAGTCGGCTGACGTGTACTTGAGCCCTAGCCTTCCTTTGCGCATGCGGACTCTGGCCTTGGCCTTCTCTTTTTCGGCATTCCTAATTGTGCAACAAGAATGAAGACCAGTAAGTGAGCAAGCCTGAATATCAAGACGTACCTGGCCCTGTACCGAGCTTGGGCTTCTGCGTGTGCGGAGGTCGGAGTGACATTTGGTGCTGTCGAGGAGCCAGCAACGTTATCGGGGCTTCGGTTGCCCGGGTTCGGGGTAGGGGACTCTGGAGGCGACGGAAATTTAAAACTAAAAGTGAAAGTGTTCTGATCCATGGTAGAAGTGACGGAGAAAATGGCAGACTTGCCGAATTGGGACGTGGCTTTGAGTTGCCGTCTAAAAAAACCCGATATAAAAAAAGGGCTAGGAGAATAGTTGTTGGTGGGACGCACTCTCGCATCGAGTGCTTGACACGTTTGTCGGGCATCAAGCAAAAGGCAGTGGCCCAAAGTCGCCAGCTTGGTTTGGGACCAGCTGAAACGGCGTGGGCAAGGTTTTATAGGTGAACGAGAGGGTTTCAAGGTTCGCGGGGACAATATTTAGAATGCTGGACTCAAACCCAATGACATGGTGAGCGTTTCCACCGACTTGCCGTGGACTGTGGAAAAAAGTGTCAGAAAGCGACTCGGGAAAGCACCAACGTACCGTAGTAAACAGGCTTGAGGTTCTGAGCAAACGAGCTCACTGCCATTGTGTTGTAACGTCATCTAAGTTTTCCGTATTTCTCGACAGAACTTGACTGGAATATGTTTTCTGCAATGATACACGACTACAGCGTATTTTTGCGGCCGCTACTTTGCAATTTCTGGTGAGCGAGGGTGTCCCAATCGGGAAATGTCTTCGTGATAATTCGTGTTTGTTGGTAATCGTGAGCTCAGGGCTCGTGGGGCCTCAGAATAATTATGTGGACCGGCCAGGGTCCATAAAAGTGAACACTTACTGCCAAGAATGCACTGTTCTCTAAGCCAAACACCATAGATAATAAGTTGAAGGGTTGAAACGGGGTTTTTAACCGTTTGCGAGTCAACCACGGCGAGCAACGCTTCGGGAGGGCGATATTCGTGGTGCTGGCCTTAAACCGAATTCCATGAGAAGACCTTCACACAAGTCAGTTTTAAGGAAGAAATAAAGTAACCAACAACTGACCCAAGAGAGCACCTCACGGCGTTACGGACAGTGTTGGAAGTTCGAATAAATGAATTGGGTGATATGGTGTAGCTTTTATCGTGAAAATTACGAGTATTTCCCGGGTGGATTTTGCCGTGAGGGTCTTCGAGGAATCATGTAGATGCGAGCCTATTTTTCCAGAGGGTACGTTGAATTCTTTGGCGAGGGAGATTCGTCCCAATTGGGAAATGCCTGCGTGATAGTTCGTGATTACATTGAATCTCGTGAGTGTTGAGCTCAGCGTTGAGTTGTGGCTCCGCAGAACAGATCAGACTGTTTGAGTGGATGAGAGATACGACTCGGCTGAGAAAAAGGGCTTGCTGGCGCGTAAGAAACGGAGTTGGACACGTTGAAACCAACAACATCGCGAATAGCAGTTTACTCCAAAACCCTACGTGCTCGGCGATGCCGCCATTGGCTTCGTGCCGTGGAACCGTTTCAAAATGCTGAACCAAAAGGCTGGAGAGAGCCCCTGGGCGCGGAAAAAGAGGGTGGAGGCTGGGAGCTGTCAAACAGATACACACAGAGAGTTAAATTTGGGTCCCAGAGTCGAGCGAACTTTGGATGCTGCCAGAAATAAAAGATAAAAACGATGAAATCAGGCTACGGAAAGGGTACAAAAAGAGCACTAATGTCGCCAGAATAGAATCATTTGCGCAAGAAACCAAAAAGACCGCCACTTCTTCTTACCTACGCCCAGAAGCGGATTCGAACCGGCGCGGCTTCATCAAAGATACATTAGGTCAGACCATTGAACTAGAAGATACTACCACTACACCATCTGAGCACTGACTCGATGAACACAGAGAGCTTATATATAGTTTACTAGCCGCAACTTTTCCCAATCCAAATTGTTGGGCAAATTTGCCGCAAACGCACTTTACGAGTCGAACTGTCAATGCCCTCAAAATATAATCCAAGGGTTGCAACCGTACGCCAACGCAGAGTGTTTTCCTTGGAATTTCCACGAATATTCTTCGGCCCAGCGCAGGCCGACTTTTTTACTCAACATCGATGTCGTTTTGCGATTCTCCTTCAATGGGCTCTTCCTCTTCAATGTATTACTTCCACTTCGGGCGTACCTCGTCCTCACGGGATATGGATTTCAAGGCAACCGTCAAACCGCCAACCGTCGCCTAAAAAAGGAAGTGAAACTCAACGCAGTCGCTTAGTACGCTTACTTGGTCTCCGTCAGAGCCAATATGGCCCGCCAACCTTGCAAGGAAGAGACCAAGCAAAAAGCCAAAGCCGCAAAGCGTCGCGAGAAGAATCGACGGTACTATGCCAGGTAATTGAACTTTCGCGAACGTGGACATCAGAATTAATTACACTGCAGTCACCCAGAACTGCGAGAGAAGAGTCGTGTTAACATGGAGGAGAAAAGGCATCGATATTGTGTTTATTGAATTTTGAAGTAGGCTGACACAGTTGCGGGTCAGGAAGGCGAAGAAAATATACCGACGCCAGTGGGACCCACCCAAGCAACGGCAAGCTCTTTTGGACGACGAGACGCCGTCCATCACCCCTGTTTCTGAGGACGAGGCCGTGGCGCATGCCGTTCTGAGCACCATGTACCGTTTGCATTTGTTGAGTTTAAAGTTCTTTTTGAGCGGTCTTTGCCAATTCTTTTTCAGGCCTAAGGAAAACACTACGCCAATAACCGCGAAGGGCAACGGGGAGAGCACAACACGCAAAGAGCCGAAGGGCCTCGCAGAAATTGCCGCATACGAATCTTCGCGCGACGACTCCTCAAGTCATTCGACAGCCGATACCCTCCCGGGGCGGAGGCAATTTGTATATATGACGCTGGCCAATGCCCGCGCTGGCATTGACGAGATTACGCGAAGGAGGCGGGAGGCGATTCAATCGCGTATTGAAGCTGAGCGGTCGGAGCGGATGCGCATTGTTGTCGAGTCCAGGTAAGTTTCTAAGCCTCACAAGAGCTTCGCGCCCACTTATCATTTTAGACGCACATATGAGGAGGTTCTCGCTATTCATCAGGACAGGGGGTCAATTGAAGTCGAAAAATGGTTGCAAGGCGTACAAGCTAGCAATATGTCGTGATTTTATGAATAATACCAATTTTAAAAAAAACATTGCATTGTGTGATGGAAAGACGAGCGAATTACTGGGTCGCATAACGCGGCGTAACTATGTTGACATTTGTGCCGGCGACGGCCACCGCCCAACGCCGCTCCGCTTCCTCTCGTGAGTCAGCCGAATCGTAACGAGCAGAGCTGAGGCCGAGGGTATTTAGAGCACATTCCAGACTAGAATTTGAGGTTAGGGACTGAAACAAGATTAAAAAGACAGGAAGACGTACTACGAAGCGTAGATGCCGGGAGAAATTCCCGTGTACACGATGTACCACTTGGGGGTAGACGGGCTGGCACCGTGAAGCGGGTTGTGAATGCTGACGGTGAGATCCTGAGGTAGAGGCAGGGTGGGGATGGCCGTTTGGGGCAGTTCTGAAGGCGAGGGCGGCCGCGATCCCCGTACTGCAACCCATGAACGTTCAAGCGCGTAGTTGAAGGCCGCTTCAGCTTCGGCCACAGTGGCATACCCCTGGTGCACGGCCGAGGGGACCCCAGTGACCTGTACCTGCGCGCCCCCAACGCCAAACCTATTGCATGTTAACGGACAAGCAACGTCGGTGGAACAGTGAAACCTACCAGTGCTTAAAGACACCAGGCTGGCGACCATAGAAAACGGTATATGCACCGCGTTTTTTTGTGCGCGGCGTTGTGGGCGACTGAATAGTGCGGACTAGGGCGTGGGGCACACCTTGAGTGTGGTGCGATGCCTCGGACCTGTCGCGTCGGAAATAAATAAATGGCTAGCTCAAATAGGAGAGGGAATAGCTACCATTCCCTGGTTCGTCCTGAGCGAGTTGGGGTTTGAAATTGATAAACTCGGGAATTAGGGCGCGCCGGAGTTGTAGGAACTGGTGGAGAGTAATTAGGCGGGAGTGGTGGCGGAGGAGGTGTACGAGGGCGGGGACCAGTTTGAACCGTTGCTAAATGAAGGTCGTCCAAGTTCGCGATGAGAGTTTCGAACTCGTCGTCTGTATATTGTCGGGCAGTTTGGGAGAGAGCAGTCATGATGGTCCAGGACTGTTGGTACTGAGGAGGCCGGAAATCACCCTACATAGTGATTGCCACGATAAGACTGTGCGGTGAGCGCGCGGACACACCCAGGGACTTGCTGAAGGAGGAAAAGCGAAGGAGATTTGATAAGGTACGTACATACGTACGTGCGCGTAAACTCGCGGACACAGCCAGGGGCTTGCTGAGGGAACAAAGAGATCTGTGATGGATCCTAGCGAGAGCGCGTGGCGAGAAACGGTCGTCAGGGTTTCCGTTTTGGTTCCTTGATCCGCGCGAGGAAACTCGCCACGGGACTATTTTGCAGCGGAGCCATTTTCTCAGCAGAAATTTCAATTAAGCATTTTCAGGACACAAGTTGCATTGGATTGGGACCATAGTACATAGAGTAAACTAAGAGCCTGAGTGGATGTTTGTTAATCGGGGTAGCGAAATGTTAAAGTAAAAACGTACCAATCAAGCCGCGATTACCTCAACGAGACCGATGTTGAGCGCGAGGGCCTGGTTGAAGGCGCTGACGGTGTCGCGCTGAGAGTTGTAACCGACGCGCAATGCGCGCGAGACATGGGTGACGGCTCCATCGGCGAGCAAGGTACTATTGGTGCAGCCGATGTAACGTCCTTTGGTGATGGCATACCACCTTTCGCCGTTGTCGGGGATTACCTGGAGGGGGCCGTCGGGGACAACCCCGTAAATCGCACCGGCGATCCAGGGCCCGGAGTACTGAAGGCCTTGGGAAGCTAGCGAAAGGTTAAAGTAGATGAGCATCTCAGGAAAATATATGCATGTATCTAAAATCACGAACCTGAAGTAGGAGCCGGCGAGGGCTGAGGGGGGGATCCAGCAGCGGTGGCGAGGGCGTTGGCCGCAAGGCTAAGCATACTGTATGCCTGAGCTGCTGAACCAGGCACTTGCGCCAGGCCAGACGCTAAAAACGAAAAGTGAGCAGCTGGGCGATGAGCGACGGCGGGGATAATACCGAGGGCGTCATCGACAATAGGCGCGGGACCACCATCGGTGGCGGAGGCGACAGAGGGGGCTTCCGTAGCGGAAGCGCCCTGAGTAGACGATAACTTGGTCATGGTGTTGAGTGAGTGAAGAGCAGGTTGTGGGGATCAAAGGTTGGCGAAAAGTCAGGGATTAAAAGAGCCCCCCGGATACGGTTAGCGAAGATAAATCATGGAGCTAGCCAGGATAAACCTGAGGAACCCGGAGATATATTCGACGGCTAATGGCTGGCGGTCGCCGGTCGGTTAATGTAGCGAATTTATTTAAAACGCGAGCAGAATCAGGAGAAATAACCCTACCCACGCAGGACCAGGCTAGCACCAGAAAAACGACTTGCGCACTTGAATAATACGATCTCTGTGAAGCCTTCGACGTCAGTCTTTCATTTAAAGAAAATCGCGAAAGCTTACGGTGACCTCGAAAACAGGATGGGCAAACGAAAACGCGCTCGTGTTCCTAAAGAAGACCGTCAAAATCTTCGAAATTGGGCGGAGGGTGCGCGCGAAACAATACTTACTCCCCACCTCGAGCGTTACGCCGATGCTTTCGAACTTGGTTGGCGGTTCGAGCGGGAGGTCCACCGACAAATCTGCAATGAATACCACGCCCTGGTCAGTTGGAGGCTCAAGGATCATGAAGAGCCCGTCCTACCCCTCCCTTTCTTCGACCCCAACGCCCCGTTGCCGCCCGATGAGAAACTCTCATACGAAGAAACACAGAGGCGGGAGAAGCGCATCACGTCGCTCAATAAGGTCAGCGCCGGCTTCCGATCGGCGATCAGCTGTAATAATTTTAACCTCCTCAGCGAATTCGCCGTTGGCTGAAATATCGCGTCACGAAACTACGCAAGCATGTTCGCACCAAAGTTGGCTCTCCCACCAATCCTTGGTCTGTGCTCCTCGCCCAGCTCTCGAAGATACACCCTCCTCCGAAGGCCCGACAAGCGTACCAGCAATTTATGAGGGAATCGTACGCCACCGCAATCGAGCCTACTGTCAGGGCGCGCTGGGCTCAGACAGCAGCCCCCGGTGCCAGTGTCCCCACCCAGGAACCTCCTGTTGACTTTCGGGCCAAAATTGCCCGTGAACTCTTCGATGCTTTGCCCCAGGACGTCAAGGATGGTTACGGGGCCCGTGCGAAGGGCGAATCTCTTGCTGCGCGCGAGGCGTTCCAGAAAGCGATGAAGGAACCGCCCTCGACAGCACCTAAAGATCGCCAACTGTGAGTCGCGTTCTTAAATACCTTTCTACATATTAACTTACTCTTTAACAGTGCCATCGACAATCTTGGCTTGTTCCTTGCGCCCATCCTGCGGGGAATCCACGAGCGGACGGGATTGCATTCGGTGATCATCTTGGGCGGGCCAATGCCAGAGTATGGCGGTGATTTACGTACTGTCCAGTGAGTACTAACCTTTCGCTCGTCCTCAGCCACCTCCCGCACACAAACGACTGATGCATGACATTGATAGCGTGTCTTATGGGCGAAACCGTACCGCTATGGCTTCTCACTTCCCGCAGTGGGCGAAGGAACGTTTTAATCCCGTGCTGAGCCTGATGAAGGAATACCTTGAGTCCGCTTTCAGTGCGTATAGAATTTCAATACGATATACGCGTAGATACTGACAATCATCTACCAGCTGCACAGGACCGCCTTGACGCGGCGCTACCTAGAA